AGGTTGCTTAATGTGTCGTTGGCAAAATTAATTGTGGACCATCACCGAATAGAGAGGATGAAGGAGCATGACAGCTAAAATACATGAATCAAGATCACACTTGCAACAAGACTTTCAATAATATGTTAATATCATCAAACTGATTAGCACATGAATACTTGGACAAAATTTTGAGAAATCCTAGGTGGAAGCCAAGTGAAGCGAAAGAGAATATACAGAAGAATTATGAGATAAATGTGAACTTGAGGAAATGTCAGAAAGTCAAAGATAAAGCTTTAAATGTTGTTTAAGGTTTAATGAAAAGGCAATATGGTCTGTTGAGGCCATACATGACAGGGAAGACAAATGACAATACCATATGCGTATTGAAGGTGGTGGAGATAGAGGCTAGACAACCTGCTACTTTTTTGGAGTTTTTATGTGTTTGAAGTATTGAAGTTAGGTTTTGCTGCAAGTTGTATACCCAATATTTGTTAAAAATGGTTGTTTCCTTGGGCATACTTGCGATGGCCAACTACTATCTTGTGGGAATGGATGAAAATAATCAGATGTCGCCTATAGCATGAGTTGTTGTTAAGGATGAGACAAGGAACTCTTGGGAGTGGTTCTTGATGATACTTACACATGGGTGATGGTGAGAGTTTTACTATCATCTCTAATCAACAGAATGTAATGAGCTTAGTTCTATTATCTACATTTTTTCCAAAGTTGTTTATATTTGCCTTATGTTTGCATATTACTCAATTGCATGTTGACCATTCAATTTTGTTTTGCATAATACAGGGATTAGTGCCTGCAATTCATGACTTATTGCCAAAGGTTGGTAAAGGCAATGTGCTAGACACATTTATTCAAACTGGAGGAAGATGCACCAAGGAAAATTACTTCAAAGGCAATTTCAAAAGTGTGTCAAAGCTCAAACTACGGGGGAGACTGCTATGGAAACTGAGAAGCTATGGGGTTATTCAGCTTAAGCATATGTAGATTTCATGACAAGGGATCCAACCATATTTTGCAAGTCACACTTTCAAACATATATCAAATCTGATGTTATAGATGTAACATGGCAGAAACCTTCAACTCTTTCATATTGCTTGCAAGATTCAAACCAATTATATGTGTTAGAATATTAGATTGGCTATAATGGATAGAATGTAACAAAAGCATAAAATTTGTGAAACATTTAATCAAACGGGAATTATCTAAATGATGAGAATGGGTTTGAAGTGATACAAAAGAGTGTTAGTCATAAAGTTCACGTAGGCAATTGGACGTACCCATGTAGGATGTACAACTTGACAGGGATTCCTTGTAGCCATGTTATTAGTGCAATTCTAAAAATGAGAAGAGTGCCAAAGGATTATGGTTCAATATATTATAGTTAGGAATCCCATTTAGGACTTAATTGTAAAATGTTAAATCCAGTTGAGGGTAGTAAATTTTGGTATATGGAAGGAGAGGGTATGATATTACCTCCTAACATTGTAAGAAGAAGACTAGAGAGGCCCAACATAACTAGAAGAAGAGACCCTTTAGAGGGACCAAGAAACCCTAACAAGGCATCCAAGCAAGGAATCCAATACAAGTGCTCAAACTGTGGAGCATTCGGACATAATAGAAGAATTGTTCTAATCCACCGTCACCACCAACACAAGTAAGTGTTTTCGTTTCTCTCTATTTTTTCACCATTTCATATCCACTCTATACTACATTTCTCTCAAGGAAATGTGTATTTCCATGAGAGGATCCTCAATCACAATCTATTGCTAGAGTCACGGTTCAAGGAAGAAGAGGGGGTAGGTCTAAGGAAAGCAAGAATACTTCATCCCAAGCTTCATTGAACAATTATCTCATCCTTGCTACAATATTTATAGAGAAAAGAAAGCAGATATACATTACAGTTAGAGGAGACTCTTCACAAGCAGGCAATGCAGTCGGAGGACCATCACAAGCTACAAACATGAGAGGTGGTAAGGGTAGGGGTAGGAGTATGGGTAGAGGCAGAGGAAATCAATAACATATTCGTGAAGGATATGGATTATAGCATGAAGAGCAAAGAGAAGTTGTATAAAGAGATCCATCACAGATAGGTTCATCACTGAATGAATCTCAAGTGTTACCATGATCAACAATATTGTAGTCTTTTTGGTTTTTGGAAAAAACTATGAACATGATAAGTTTAAATTTGTGAAACAATAGTACTGATTTGACTTTTTTGACTCGTATGTGTTGTTGGGTATAGGTTGATATTATTGGCATATACAATGTTCTAGGTTTTTATGCGATTTATATGAATTATTGTGTGCAATCTGGGTTTTAATGTATCAGTTTTAATGTGCATATTAAGTTTGTATAGGTTTGTATATTACGCTTATTGGTATATATCACCACTATATTCTTGCACATGGTGCATATATGCTCAACAAAGCTTGTGTCATTCTACTGCACATGATCCACATACATCCATACGCCCAAACAATGTGAATCTTGCACAACCCATGATCTAATCCATAACCATAGTCCATAGACATTGTGCATATAGCACATAATCCACCATTCAAACATGCACCATATAAATTGTAAATAACACAAGCTTATAAACACAACACATTAATATCATAAAATCAAGTTACATTCATCAAATTACATCTAAATCACTGCTACATAAATTATATTTTATAATGAAATCAACTCCCACTCTTAAAACCACATATAAATAAACTATTGTGAGAACCATGATAATGAACCTGCAAGGCTGCAACCCCACACATACACTCATTTTCACTTTTTGTTGTTGAAGTTCACTAACATATGCTAATCTATCCGTCCTTCATTTCAAAATCTCATACATACAAGTTTTAGTTTCACTATGGCATAGCTCAATCTCTTCCTTCATCTTGGCAATAATATCATGACAATTCATGAGCTCTCTCACAACCTTCAATCATTCCATCTTTATGTGAAATTTTCCTACTCATGTCACTGAGTTCCTCTCTTAGAAGTGGGAAAAGTTGAGATGCAATCAACTACATCGATGAGGCATACCACTCCTACATACCGCAACCACCCATCTGCAACTCAAAATAACTAAAAATAATTAAAATTTGCATAAAATAATATCAAAATCATTCAACACATACTTCGTACTTTAGGCATCTATAAAACCTTCTGCCTGGATTCTTGTCTATCATTGATGTGTAGTAATCACATTGCAACCCACAATAACACATTTAAACGCCACTCTCCTTGGCAACTTCATTCCATGTTCGAATACAAGCCATTTTGTTGAAACCATAGCTCGTGTTTATCCTACTACTAATTGATCAAGAGATTGAGCTTGAAGAAGGCATAAGGGTAGGAAACGAGATCAATTCACCCCTAATCTGTCAATGAGTTGTAATTTGGATCAATTCTCTTCAATCCTAATTTTAGCCCCATATTTGAACTGAGCCTTAATTCGAAATTCCCTTTTAGGCTATAAAGAACCTAACTACACTGTCATGCCATCTAACTTCAACCAAGTCAATGAGAAAAACTAACAAACAGATGTCACGTGGGGCACATGAGCATTTTGAAATTCAAATTTAGTCAACAATTAGCAACACCTAAGTGGCAAACTGGTGATCACAAAATGTATCTTGTTGTCACCGCTGCCACTAAATATACCTTGTTGGTATAAGGGTGCCACTAAATATACTAAAATGGTAATTTTGCCAATTGCTTATACATATAACTTTTTGACTTAATTACAAACAGATGTTGATGATATTGAGGCCATTGTAAATGAGGGCCTAGTACTTTCTATTGCAAGAACAAATCCAAGAATATATACATCTCTGTATAAGCAGATAGTGCAGAGGACTCGTCGAGCCATGGATCGAACTCGTGAGGATCTTCATGATGGTCGAGAAGTGATGGTGGACGAGGACCTCTTATATGCACGCCGACCAAATCGACAGAGATGAGAAGGATCTTGCGAGAACGACGATGAAGCTGGACCTTCACAACATGTTAGCGGCACGTCACAACCACATACGCAGCCGAACGACGAGCTTATGTAAGCTCAAGTCCATGGAGGACGACGACGATCTGAGTGGTAAGAAGAGAGAGACAAAGGGGAAGAAGTGAACTTCTAGGTTGAATGTGAACGATTTATAGGTTTTTTGTATTTACTTTATAAAGTTATCGATATAGGTTATTTGCAAACCAACACACTTGATATATTTGGCTTTGTTTCGATGTTTTGGTGTATGAAAATAATATGTATTGTCGTGATATGTTTTATCTAATACGTGTTCTTGCAATGTTTTGGATTGTTTAGAAGTGTATTAAGTTATGTACATGATCTCATGGAAATTATATGTTTATAGAGATTAAAATGTTTGGATATGTACATGAGGGGAATTTAAAGTTTGTTATGCATGGGAGATACTGTAAATGTACATGAGATAAGCTACAAACATCCATGCATGTTTTCTGTATGCTCAGTAAACACAGGGACTAGTAGTTCCATGTATTTTTTGGGTGGTCTGTAAAATACACGAGACTAGTAGTCATGTATATATTATGGGCTTAATTTAACTCGTAGTTAGCAATTACTTATCACACTGGACTACTGGTCCCATGTATTTTAAAGATGATATTTTACAACATTGAGCTCTTTGTGGCCAGCCTTGATGGCGTGGCCATAAAAAGGTCGATTTTGCTAATTATTTAGCAAAAGGGCCATATTTTGCTAATTATTTTTCAAAAATGATCTTATTCCAAAAATTCTCCGTTTTAAAAATTGTTAGTAGGTTCTTCTTTTTTCCATAATATTTAACCAGTTTGCATGAAGTGCTATCAAAGAATCATGTGCTGAGGAAATGTAGCTAGTCAACGGGCAGGAAGCATCACAAATCCATAACATGGCTGCTAACTAACACAATATTCACATAGCCAGTGGTTATAACATCTGAAAATAACAGCGATAAAAAAAAACTAGCCGAAATCAAACTCACCATTTCATGGCACTTGACCACAGCTCCAGCAATCTCTTCAAACGACTCCGTTGGCATGCCTGTGAGTCTTGCCAGCTCCGTCTCATTCGGACTCAAGATATCGACACAATCCATGAGCTCCTTTGGAATAGGTGATTCCACCCCTCCCACATCTAGTATCACCGGAACGCCAGACTTCTTCGCTGCCTGGTGACAGGATCATATTTCAAAAATGTAGCATCTTATGCAGGCCCGTGTAACTACAAAAGGCGGGTAGGCTGATATATACATACCCTAGCGGCGAGCACATTGACACGATCAGGTACCTCTCGCTGCAATAACAACACAGCAGCCTTGCTAAGAAGCTCAAGATCCTGACCCCGAAGGGGGTCGGGCCAACAAGACATATTCGCCCCGCCAACGATGATAATAGAGTTACTCCCATCAGCCTGAAGCATAACCACAGCATGGCCTGTGGGGGCCGCAGGGACAACTGAGAGGGACGAGAGCTGGAGCCCGCAAGATCGGGCGAGTTGGCGGAGCCTACAACGACCACTGGAGAGGGCTCTGAGGAGGAGGAGGAGGAAGAGAGGGAAGCGGAGGGATGGAAAGGGCTAGGGTTTGACTTGAGGGAGATGAGGGTCGTGGGTTTCGTGAGATTGGGTTTTCTTTGGGGGTTGCTTTTGTTGGCGGCGGTGGTGTTCCGTGAGGAATGGTGGGGGGGAACCGGTAACGATCGGATTAAGGCTTTCATTTTGATAGAATAGAACGAGGAGACTCGAGAGGGATGGATCGGTGGGTGTCCCCGAATCCGTGCGGGAATTCTTTCAACTTTATAGACTTGTCTTTTTTGTTATTGTTTCTCTATTTTTTAAGGGCATGTTTGGATTTGTAGAGAAGGGAAGGGAGTACTCTTACCTTTGGTTATACCCCAATTTAGGGGTAACAAATTTTATACTATTAGTGGGTAAACCAAGGGGAACTAGGGTGAATTAACTTCCCTTCACCCTCATTCCCCTCAATCCAAACAAGCTCTAAGGAAAAATTAACTTTATGATATTTTTGTGCAATTTTATAAATTACAATAGGAAATTATGAGATCATACCGGCATCACTTTCTTGCGTCTAACATTACAATAATACGTAGTATAACTCTTATGATAATACATTTTAGCATTTCCTATTAAAAAAATAGAGATTACTGTTAAAAAATGGGAAAATTACTTCTAGGCGTGGGCGGGGGCAGAGGAGGAACGTAGGAGGAGGAGAGGGTGTAGGGGAGGGATAAAATCGGGATTTTTGAAGAGGTTGCATTGGAACTTGAGGAGAGGGGCCTGGACATAATTTTTTTCAAAAAAGGGCTGCAGCACATCTATATACTATTACTAATAAGTGTTACTGTTGATTATGCCACCTGTCAAAAATGCCACTTGGCAAAACTCCACCCATACTTACTGCAATTTCATCTTTAGGGCTTGTTTGGATTGAGGGGAATGAGGGTGAAGGGAAGTTAGGGGAACCATTCACCTCCATTCACCTTGTTTGTGAACACTTAGGAGGTGAAGTTAATTCACCCTAGTTCCCCTTGGTTCACCCCCTAATAGTATAAAAATTGTTACCCCCAAATTGGGGTGTAACCAAGGGGAAGGGAACTCTCTTCCCTTCCCTCACTCAGTTTCCCTTAAACTTTCCCTTCACCCCTACAAATCCAAACAGGCCCTTACATTTTTCAAACCTCTGACCCCCCCCCCCCCCATTCTTCACTTTCCCCTTTCCCTTCTTCTACCTCTGACAAAAATCGCTTCGTTTCTGTCTCCGCTTCCTTTCCCAACATCATCTTTCACCCAAACCCATCGTTCCGTCGTTCTTCACTTCGCAAAATCGACGCTTCGTTTCCTTAGCGATGCCTCGAGAATCAAATCGTCGCTGAAGGATGGTACTTATATATAGCATGCCTCAGATTTTGTCAGGAGCAGGAACTGAAGATGGCACAGGAGCTGAAGAAGCGGAACATGTCAACTGAGCAGAGGGCCTTGGAAGCTGAGAACCTGGAGCTAAAGCTGAAGACTTGAAGCTATGGACTGATATACAAGGAAGGACTGATACGCACAGGAATTGAGAAGCAGGAGGGCAAATATGCAAAGTGGAGGAATAAATGTGCAAAGACTGTTAAATAAGGGTCCTTTGTGATAAGTGTTAGGTTCCAGCTCAACTGCTTAAACTGTTTTCTGTTGGTGCACGTGCACAGTCTTGTAACTCATAGTTTTGTATAAATAACGAAGTGTAAAAATCAAAAGAAACTCAGGAATGAAATAGGATTCTGTTCTTCACCTCAAACTCCAGTCTCAATTCTCTCTCAACTATCTCAATTTTCTCTTCTTGAAGTGTTCCAAGTTCAATCATGGCCAGAATTGAAGCTAGGGGAATCAACAGAGGTTTGAGAACCTCACAATTGGTATCAGAGCATGATTCATCCCTATCAAGGCTTGATCGATCCCAACATCAATTGAGGGCAGCCATGGAGGAGCTATTTTCTCAGTTTCAGATTTTTGTCCAAGTAACTCAGGAACTCCAAGAATCCAAGCCAATCACTCGACAAGATGTTAGACCCATCCACAGTTCTTCAGAAGGGTGCAAATCAGGATTCTCCACCCAATCGAATCCTCTTCGTCGCCATTTACACAATGCTCTATCCTATAACGGAGGAAGTATTGCAACAAGTGTTTTCTCCATATGGGTTTGTAGAGGAGATCGTCATCCTTCAGAAGTCAGCTGGCTTTCAAGCTCTTATACAATTCCAATCACAGCAAAATGCGGTGGAAGCAATGAATTCTCTACAAGGGCGCAACATTTATGATGGTTGTTGTCGATTAGCCAATACAAATTTCCAACCTCAATGACCTCGGCAATGAGCAGGTACCTCAATCTTTCTCAGTCTCTTCAAATTCAACTCAGATTTCTTCTTTCAAGAACACCCAACAAAAGTGTTCGACGAAATGCTTCAGTGAGCCGTTGAGATCTACCAAGAACCTGCAGGAGTCTTTGAGGCATTCATGGAGGTTATCCTCTCTTCCTTCATCTCAGATTTCAAATGAGGCTGTTGATGGCTTTTCTCTTCCTCGAAGGAACCAGAATCGATCGACTGAAATAGATGTTACCAAAAGTATCCATAGAGGTTCCAAGGATCTTCGCCAAGAAATCTTGGGCTCGGGGCCAAGGGATGATCATCGGATCTTGAGCTCAGAATCAAGAGAGGATATGGAAACACCAAGATCAAGAGATAAGAATTCAGGCAAGGAATAGGCTCCTCGATCGCAAGGGCGTGTTGATTTCAGTGGAGAATTTCAGCCATCACACAGTTTTGGTGGAGGTATACCAAAAGCAAAAGCCAAGAATATTGTTGCTGCTCAAGACGACAAGAATCGCCGACCCTTCGGAGACATAGGCAATGTCGTCGGTGCTCGCCCTGCCGTCGTCGAAGGGAAGCCATTGCATCAAATGTCGAGATCCTCTTCAAGCTCTTCTTCAAAGATGTCCAAGAATTTCATGGCTCCAACAATCTCTGCATCTTCAAAAGTCATTGTACCTCCTGAACGGCAAAAGATCATGCTTAAGGGTGGCCTGTTGAAAGATGATGCAGACTGGTTGACCTTAGGTGTAAAGGACGGTCAAAAGTTGATGATGATGGGTACTACAAAGGATAAGAAGAAGCCGCAATCTTCTCGTCTCCACCGAAAGCCAAAACTCAAGAAACGACCATGGCCAATCTCAAGCAAGAGAAAGCCTAAGCTCAAAAATCTACTATGGCCAATCTCAAACAAGAAGAAGAAGATTTTTAAGAAGACGAAGTTGTACGCTTTGAATGGATCGCCGAAGGCTCAGGTTTTTTCTGCGGTGCCTCCTGAGGGGATCTCGAGGGCCGAGCTCGAGGAAAAGGTTGGTGGTCTTGTGGCGTACGCTGATGCTAGCTCAAATCCTCCTGTTGAATCACCTTAGGTTCCTGCCAGGAAGAAGGGTTTTGTGATGAATATGCAACCTTCAGAAGCCGAGGCAGGATTTGATATTCACATTCCTCCTACAGAGGATCCTGATCTCCTAAAGAAAAGAATTGATGAGGAATGGGCACCAGCTACAAGGAATTTGACATACCAGTTGATACAGCAAGGATCAGTAATGGATATTACAGGGTGTCCTCTAATAACCACAACAGATGACTCTAACTCATGGTGGTCTACTTTTAAAGAAGTTGTCATAGCTTCTGGTGGAAAACTTCAAAAGCCTAAAATTTTAAGATCAACAACAGATGCTCGGTTCATGAGACAGTTGGGCATACCAACTCTTGGCTTTTCAAATATTGGGGTATTAGCCATTGGTGAAATATGGACATTTACTGCCAGAGCTTTTAGCTCACCAGTCCCAGACCACACCATCATTGTCAATTATGATGGCTTTGCTGAAGATGTTAAGGTTGGTGATGACCTTCTCGTGGATGGAGGAATGGCTAATCTTACTTTCTGGAGAGATGGTAGTCTAGTTCAAGAACACAAAGCCATGCTTCCTACAATATCTCCTAAGGACTGGCTGAACATAGACTTTGGGATTGCTGAAGGTGTGGACTTCATTGCAGTTTCATTTGTCAAGTCTGCAGAAATCATCAATCATCTCAAATTTTACATAGCTGCTAGATGTCGGGACAGTGACATTTCAGTGACCACAAAAATCGAGAGTATTGATTCCTTGAAGAACTTAGAAGAAATCATCCAGGCTTCAGATGGAGCCATGATAGCACGAGGAGACTTGGGCGCTCAACCTCACAGATTTTCATACCCAAATCCCTAATTTCCAAATCACAGCATCGGCTAATCCCTTGGCGGCGATTGGTCCGTACGCAACGAAAATCTTTCGGCGTCACTGGAGGCGAAGGTCGTCGGCGTCATCGGCGAAGGTTTGTTTACGGAAACACTTTACAAATTTTTCCATTGTAGTGAAATTTACCATATATTGCGACATTTGATTCCCTGTAAATGATCCATAATTCCTAAATGGCTTCTGCTGACCTATAATCTCTGTTTTACCTTTAATCTTTACTAAAATTGATTCATAATTGCTTTGATTTATTCCATTGGTACTCGCTGTTATTAAATTTTATTATGCAGGCTAATTATCACTATTTTGCTATTATCGATCAGGTATTAGCCAGCATTTTGTTATTTTTTTAGGTTTTATTTATTAACAAAATGCTAATGAAATTAAGAGAGCCATAATTCTGTTTTGGACCCTCCTAAAAAAATAACAAAATGCTGATTAGCTGCGTAGTTCTAATGACATGCTAATGAAATTAAGAGAGTCATAATTCTGTTTTAGACCCTCCTAAGAAGCTTTGTTTTAGAAATCAGCATTTTGTTATTTTTTTAGGTTTTATTTATTAAAAGAAGAGTAATCCATCGTTTAAAGTAGCTTTCAATAATTCTTAATTTTATCTGGAACTACCTACCTTCAGTAAGTCTCTCACTCATTTCTTTCATTAATTAGGAGTATCATGTTGAGGTTGTTTATCAAGCATATTTTACTCTTCCCTTGTGTTTAATAATTTTCTAAGTATTCCTTGAAACTTATATTTTACTCCAGACTAACTATCACCAACATGAACACGAAGTGGCTGATATATATTGGAAGTTCTTATCTACGAATTTATTCATATGCATGTGTTATATGTCTTGTGTTTATGTATCTGAGTACATGTTTGTATGGATGCATTTTGTAATGTATGCATGCATATATCTATATACATATGTACTTATGCATGCATCTGTATGAATGTATGTTGTACATGTACATATTCATATAGCTTATTCTTTTCCTTTCCCATTTAGTTGGCTTATCCTTGATATGAGAAAATCTGGAGTTAGCAGTTTGTCTGGCAGGTTGGAACTTTGCTATTTGTTAGGTGCTGTGGTTCAAATTGTGTAAATTAATCATAAACCATTCTGATGGCCTACTTAAATACATGTTTTGGGAGCATGAGTATATGCATGTAGGTACCTTTGAACATAGTATTTACATGCATATATGTATGTTCCTGTGAGTATACATGTTGTATGCATGTAATTTTTTTATTCATGCATGCCTATATATATTTTTTATTCATGTATGTAATTTTTTTTATTCATGCATGCCTATATATATTTTCATATATATAATTTTTTTATTCTTTCACGCATCTATATATTTTTTTAAGTGGTTCATACCTATGAAATTTATGCTACTTCCTTAGTGATCCAGTTATTTCGGTGGGAGATTCATTTTGGGCTTGAAACGGGAGAAACCTATGCTCCTACTCCATTTCCGTATATATCAACATAACATTGTGATGATCAAGGCACCACATAGATGTGCGTGAGAAGTAAAGCAGTTTATGGTTATGTCTTGCAGGTTGAAGGTTGATAATAATAGTTCAATGTGATAGAATACTTCTCATTGAAGTTTTATCTAAATCTTACTTTAGTGATGACTTTTGGAGATCTTTTTAGGGTAAAGTTAAAAGCATCTGAACTATGAAATCAATTCCTAATCAAACTTAATAAGCTGATTGTTGACACCATTTGACATGCAAAGAAGTCAGTACTAAAAATAGTTATTCACTTTAGCAAATTTTGGGCATATCAACATGTAAGAAAAAGGGTAAATTATCAAACTTGATGGTGTTTTAGTATACCGTGTAGAGCTAAACCAGATAGATCGGTCAACCTATCTGGTTCATTTTGGAAATGTATTGTATTTGACTTGGTACTCTACCTGCATTTGACTTATATAAATATCATTTCAAATAAATAACCTTGTCTATCTCCCTGAGTCAACCTATCTGAATAGGATTTTACTCTGCAACCATGAGATTTGTGTCCATACAGGCACAAATTTGCCTATATAATACAAGGATTCTTTCTCCACTATGTTATGGTACCTGACACCCTAAATACAGGACAAATATTACAAAAGTATGTAGGCGTCTAAAATTGCATATGAGAGCCCGCACGAAACTCGAAGCAATGAATAGGCGAGTCAAGAAAATTCGCCAATCAGTCAGCGCACGTCAAATCATCTCGTGCGCGTCGGTCAGCTCGTGCGCGTCGGTCAACACGCGCACACCGATCAGTCCGCGCGTATCGATCAACAAGCAACGCGCGTTCGACGGTCGGTCTCGCGGCGAAGCATACAAGTCAACAAATCGACCAAACACGCAAAAAGAACAAGTCTCGGAAGAAAGAGAACATAAAAGGAAAAAGTTGACAAAACTGCGCGAACGCAGGACGGAACAAACCGACCCGCGCGAACGCAGGACGGAACAAACCGACCCGCGCAAGCGCGGGTCGGATCAGTCCGACCCGCGCAAGCGCAGGTCAGATTGGTCCGACCCGCGCAAGCGCGGGTCAGACTTGTCCTGCGCGCACTGTTTCGTCCCGGTTC